GACTATTTAAAGTATATCTGGACTATAGAAAGCACACCTGGACTATAGAAAGTACATCTGGACTATAGAAAGTACATCTGGACTATAGAAAGCACACCTGGACTATAGAAAGTACACCTGGACTATTTAAAGTACACCTGGACTATTTAAAGTACATCTGGACTATAGAAAGTACATCTGGATTATAGAAAGTACACCTGGACTATAGAAAGTACATCTGGACTATAGAAAGCACATCTGGACTATATAAAGCACATCTGGACTATAGAAAGCACATCTGGACTATAGAAAGTACACCTGGACTTTAGAAAGTACACCTGGACTATAGAAAGTACACCTGGACTATAGAAAGCACATCTGGACTATAGAAAGCACATCTGGACTATAGAAAGCACATCTGGACTATAGAAAGTACATCTGGACTATAGAAAGTACACTTGGACAATCTGTGCCTGTCTCTCCTTCCTGTCCTCTCAACCAGCCGGTCAAAGTAGATGGCTGCTTGTCCTGATCCTGGTTCTGCTGGAGGTTTCTTCCTGTTAAAGGGAGCTTTTCCTTCCCACTGTCGCCTTTGTGTTCAGGATGGGAGACTGTGATGAAGTGAAGATTCAACACAATCTGCTGCTTCCTCTGAAAGAGAACTTCACTGATTGTCTTTTCTAATGTGTGAATGTTTTTGTTCAGAGACCTGGGACGACGTATGTTGGAGCTACAGAAATAAACTGAATTGGACAGAAAGTTCACAGATGAGATTTAAAAAAATGCCAAGGAACATTTGCCATTAAGATCAAAATTTTCAAGTTCAAGTCATATCTTCCGAATCATAACTATGGACTTGGATTTGATCAGTTGGTCCCTCAACACAAATGATAATTTTTTTTTGAAGAGAAGACAGGCTTTAGGCGAGACAATCACCCTGTTGGCACGCACACAGCTGGATATCTCATCAACTTGGAAGACTTGATGACGTGTCTATCTCTGCTGCCATTTGTGGATTTTAAGGACACGTTTATAATTGGATTTATGATAACTGGTTCCTGCTTTTTAGATTTGGCTGGTTCCTGATCTATCAACAAACAAGGAAGTTGTCGGCAGCAAATCTGGACCCGATCAGGCTGCCTGTCTTATATGATGGCTTGGTTTGTGCCTCGAGGACCCAGACTCTTGGCAGAATGGATCAGATCTCAGGGATTATTCTCAGGCACGTTCCACTGGTACGGTCATTTAATTTGGACATTTCAGAACCAAGTGGACCGACACAGATTAAAGGTAGATGTCATAAAAGTTCCACCTGTCCCCAAAACAATCGTGTTTATCTGAACTCGGCTCCATGACTAGCCTTGACAGGACATGCTATCTCAATACGCATGGTGGTTTTGTAAACCTGATGCTCTGCCCCTCCCTTTCCTCCTACCAAGGAATTTCCATGGACTTTTCAGAGAAGCCCAGCTGAAAAAATATTCCGTCATCATTTCAGGACTCTGGATTCGTCTCTGGTTTTCCTCGACACCCCCCCGACTGTGCACGGATCTCTCCAGAGAGAACTTTATGAACTGAGTGATTTTATCTGAACTCTGCAGTGCCTCTGTGTGTTGTCTCTGGCTGCTCACCGTCCTTGCGTCCCCCCCCACTGTGTAATGTTGACATTCAAACAGAGGTTAAAAGTGTGTTGGAAATTTTTGTCTCCAAACCCTGTGTAGGGGAACACCACCTCAGAAACTGTTCACCTCATCTCAAACAAACATCATTAATGTGTTTTGTGTTTTAAAATGTTTAAAATAAGATGCATCTATTCCCTTGGGAACAAACAAACTTTATTTTACAGGTGTTCAACTCAGCTCACAAACTCCTTAGTTGACACTAATGTGAATGTATAAAAAAAACTGTTACTGTGTTAACCACTTTCAATATGAACTCATTTCCCACGAAACGACAGGTCATTTTAATGAGTTTGGTTCAACTCACCTCGAAGTGAAACATCTGCTGAGATTAACTTTTATCAAACATAAGGAGTATTACTCCCAGGATGGGTTCCCATGGAGATAACACATTTTAAAGAACCCTTTGTTTAAAATGACATTTTCTTTTCAGGAGATGAACAGCGACACCTTTTGATGAACATTGCATGTCATTTCAAAAGCATCAGAACTGAATGTTTATTTATGAAAATGTCTGTTTAAGTAATCTCTCTTTAAGATAATCACTTGTAGTGAACTCGGCCTCCGACCAAAATCTGTCTCTGAAGACCTTCATGGGACAGGAACTGTTATTTCATTGACTTGAATCCAGAAATACAAATTGGCTCATCCACAGACTCTAATTGCATCCTGAAGTAATCAATTGAAAGAACACTCTTCTTATCATTACTATTTTACAATATCTTGATAATCAAAAGTGTGTTTAGTTCAAGTGAACCACTCATTTTAAATCAACTGTGAAACAGTATTAATGATTTTTTAAACCTCATTTAAATTAGAAATCAAGTTAAATGTCTATTTACAAAGTAATTATGCATTTTGATTTTCTGTCTAAAGGAGAAGTAATGATGTCGGTCAAAAGTCAGAGACAGTCAGAGGGAAGTTATTAGAACGGGCTGTGTTGTTTTTAAACCTAGCAGACGGTAAAAAAGAAGCATCTGGCACCTGCTTGCTCTCATTCCTTCAAAACATTTCTGTCTGTACTAAACGTTCCTAAACATTCCTATTGTCTTTTTGACTTTTAATAACCCTCTGACATCACTGAAAGACACCCCCTTGTTGGTTGTTTCAACCAATCAGGGAGTCCTGGTGACTGGAAGTGAGAACTCTTTAAAAGTCCACACTTCCTGGAACTACTCAGTCGAGTTGGGGTCTAGCCAGTCGAGTCTAGCCAGTCTAGTCTTCCAGTCTACTCCGCCTTGTGGAGTCTTCCACACCTGAGTGGAAACTCTGACGGACTCACAGCCTTGCTGTGAATCTACCCGGGCATAATGCCCTACAACCTCGAAGGGAGCTGGGTTTGCTGAA